CAATACCCACAAAACACACACACAGATACACATACCACACAGACACATGCCACATACACAACACACCAACACACAATACCCACACAACACACACATCACACACACACACACACTCACTCCCCCCTCCCCACCCACTTGGACCGTTAGGCGGGCTCTACCTCACCGTGGGCGACAGGACTTGGTTCTGTGGGCTTTCTGAGTGGCTGAGGCGGCCTGAGTGGCCAGGCTTCGAGAACAGGACTGCACGGTGGCGGAGGAGCGAAGAGCAGAGCAGTAGCAGGCGAGACATCGCAGGTCAGAGAAGGGCCACGGAGGCTGAGCAGACCGGAGACCACCAGTGTCACCGTCGAAGGCCGTTGGTCCCGCGTGCCCGAGGAAAGGGCGGGCCGCTGGTTTGAGCATGCGCACCAACCACTCAGGCGCTTTGGATGGAATTTGCGCTCTTACCCCACCCTGCTCCTCAGTTGTACGTGCTGTGCTGCGGCCCTGTCACTCTCTCCCTGCTTCCTGCCCATGTCCCCGCAAGACCAGCTTCATGGTCTCTCCCAAACTCTTTACCAAACCTATTCAGCCCCAAAGCCACACTCAGGATCTCCTGATTTTCTTCTCCTAATGTAAGATGAGGCTGCCAAAATCTATAGGTATTGCTTAATATTCCGTTGCTTTTAGCCAATAGCAGATACCATATCATTTTCACAGTGCTCTATAATATGAATGAAAATTTCCATAGATCGTCTTCCTGGTACTTTTTAAACATTCTTTTCTATTTGTTTTTGTGGTCCTGAAGCTCTTACTCAGGGCTCCATGCTTGTCACAACAGTAACTGAACTAAACCATTGTAACTCATCCTTTTATAAACAGAGCAAAGTAATTATGTGTATATTTTAGCTTTGCTTTCTTGGTTATAGCTCTTCTTCCCTATCTGTAAGTTAATTCCTAACAATGAAATCAAACAAACAGTGGTGGCGCTTGCCTTTAATCCCAGCGCAGGTGGATTTCTGAGTTCAAGACCAGGAAGATGATGTTAAAAATCTTCACGGTACAGAGAATCAGCCCAGAAGAGAGGATGGGAAATCACCAACCACTAAATTTGTATCCCTGATGGAAAAATAAAATAGATTGTAAGTTTTGAAGTTTAATATTGAAAATATTTCTTTTGAGAGCCTATTGCATAAGTGACCCCTGGGATGGTAAATGACTTGTTTGGGAGGTAGAAAGTGTATTGTGCTGCTCTATACATTTTTAGGAGTGAATTGAAACTATAAGGCACGTGGGCATATTAAAATCATATCAGGGGGCTGGAGAGATGGCTCAGCTGTTAGGAGCACTCACTGCTCTTCCAGAGGTCCTGAGTTCAATTCCCAGCAACCACGTGATGGCTCACAACCATCTGGAATAGGATCTGATGCCCTCTTCTGGTGTGTCTGAAGACAGTAACAGTGTACTCACACACATTAAATACATACATACATACGTACGTACATAAATACATAAATAAATAAAATAATAAAATAAAATCATATCGGGAAAACCAGGCCAAATAACATACTGGACACAGCAGGCTAAGGACAGGGTGTGATTCCCTCATCTAGACCTCATAAAGAGGTCAACATCTTGTACTAAGAGGGTGATGGCTCTCCCAACCTGTCATGTGACCACCAGTGTGTGGCAAGGAACGGGCAGAGACTTCAACTGGACTTGGTCTCCACTGTTGATAAAGCCTGCTCAAATTGCCCTCTTCCATTCCTCCAAGGTCCCCTCCAGCCGTTCATTTATCTGGACCGGATTCTGTCCTTTCATCTCTGCAGCTGAACTCAACTCTATAGTTCACTCTGACCCTTCGGCCACAGCAGCTTCTCCAGCTTGGTTTGGTTAGGTACAGCCCCCAATCTCCTCCCCACGTTCATGCTCACGTGAGTGCTCGTGTGCGCACACACACACACACACACACACACACACACACACACGGGCAAGTATGGGGGAGTTTTTGTGTTTCTGACAGTGAAAACTCTTAAACTATTAACCCTTTGGAGTCATTCTATAATGTACATACATACATACATACATACATACATACATACATGCACACACACACATACATACATACACACACAGGTGATAGACTTACTTATGGTGTGTAACGTGTGATCTGAGAATTAATATTAGTAATTGAGGTTGGGATAAAAGAATGTGTATTTACCTGGGCCTAGGCTATCAAGGAAAACAGTAGCATCTGGCAAATTGGTCCCAGTGAGGCCACCATACTGTGTGGTGTTTTGAATGCTTGGCCATAGGGAATGACACTATCAGGAGATGTGGTCTTATTGGAGGAAGTGTGGCCTTGTTGGAGAAAGTATGTTACCGTGGGGGTTGACTTTGAGGTCCTATGCTCAAGCTCCAGTGTGGAGAGACCCTTCTCCTAGCTGCCTGCAGAAGAGAATCTTCTTCTACCTGCCTCTAGATCAAGATGTAGGACTCTTGGCCCCTCCAGCACAGTGTCTATCTGCAGGCTGACAAACTTCTTGCCAGGACGATAGTGGACTGAACCTCTGAAACTGTAAGCCAGCCCCAAGTAAATCTTTGCCTTTATAGGAGTTGCACTGCTCGTGGTATCTCTTCACAGCAATGAAACCCTAAGACACCATGTGAATTTATTGTTAAACAATACATTCTGGCATTGCAGAAAAACGCAGGCATGTTCATCTGTGTTTCTGATATAGTGAGCTTACAAGAATTCTCAATTCAAAATCATTATACCTTGGGAGTTTTCAATTTTAAAAACATTTACTCTTATTCTTTTTTATGACTCTGTGTGTGTGTGTGTGTGTGTGTGTGTGTGTGTGTGTGTGTACAGCAGAGGGCACTGGGTCCAAAGGCACTGGAGTTATAGGAGGTTGTGACTCCCCACCCCATCCCCCATACGGGTGCTAGGAACCAAACTGGTCCTCTGAAAGAGCAATGTGTGTGTGCTTATATCCACTAGGCCGTTGTCTTCACTCTATGAATTTTTTAGTCGTTATTCCTTGGTTTTTCTAGCAACTAGTAACCCAATATAATGTGTGTAGTCTGTGTTTTATTGCTGTGATAACCATGGCAACTCTTATAAAGGAAAACATTTTTCTGGAGCTGGTTTGCAATTCAAAGGTCAGTCCATTATCATCACAGAAGGAAGCATGGCAGGATGCTAGCTGACATTGGTGCTGGAGAAGTAGCTGAGAGTTCTACATCCAGATTGAAATCAGCAGATCAAGAGTAAGACACTGGACCTGGCTTGAGTATCTAAAACCTCAAAACCCACCCCCAGTGACACACCTACTCCAGCAAGGCCACACCTCCTAATAGTGCCACTCCCTGTGAGCCTATGGGCGCCATTTTCATTCAGACCACCACATAATGTATTGTCATCATTTGATGTAGTTCCTATTTTCTTCTTTTTGGATCTTGTTTTTTTCTTTAGACTTGTGATATTTTTCCCGAAATTGGCTACATGTGTCTTTTTTCATTCATATAAATTAGCACTAGATCAGGCATTTCAAGCTGGATCTTACTTTAACTCCAAGGGATGGCTGTCTGCTTTTCTGCTCTTAATATAAGATTCCTGTCAGATAGGTTCTTGACTCTTCTTGATGAGTCATCTGTGGTTTTTAATTATTCTCTCACTGTTCATTTTTCTTCCCCTTTTCGGCACTTTGCAGAGTTTCCATGGCTTTTTCCTCTCGTCCTTTCTCTTGAATTTTTCTTCTTAAGATTATACACACCTGAATAGCAGAGTGCTTGCCTAGATTTACACTTTTAAAGTTCTTTTCTTTTACGTTTTTAAGAGTTACCTGTTAGCCAGGCAGTGGTGGCGCACGCCTTTAATCCCAGCACTTGGGAGGCAGAGGCAGGCAGATTTCTGAGTTCGAGGCCAGCCTGGTCTACAGAGTGAGTTCCAGGACAGCCAGGGCTATACAGAGAAACCCTGTCTCGAAAAACAAAAACAAAAAAAGAGTTACCTGTTAGTATTTTGCAGATGCACCACTACCTCCAATTTCCCTCTGAATATTAATTTAAAGTTTAAATATTCTCCTCCGTTCAATTTTGTGGTTATGTTTCCTCTAGGGTGAACTCTGTTCCTTTTGGCTCTGCGGGCTTTCTCCAGCTGTCTCATGATTCTTAGCTGTCCCTTCATGGCTATGAATAAGAGAACTACTCAGGTTCTTTTTTATTGCTATCTTATACCAATAGACCATGGGCTGGGTGGCTAATAAATAAAACAAATTCAGTTCTCCCAGCTCTAGAAAGCAGCGTTACTGGCCTATATGGGTCTCATGTAGGATATATACCAAACAAGAACTTTTGTTTTTCTTTTAAGACAGGGTCTCCATATATAGTGTTCAGGCTGCCCTCATAACTCACAATCCTATTGCCTCAGCCAGCAGAGGGCTGGGATTAAAGGAATGTGCCACCATATCTAACAATACTGGCTAGTCTTCAAGTAAAGGAAAGCTACAAACTGAGAATTTATATTTCCATAATCATGAAAATCAGCAGAATAGTCATAACACAGATGCAGGTTCTTTGTACGGGGGAAATCTGAATTGTTAGGCTTCTACACCCCCCCCAAAGGAAAGATACTTAGGCACGCCCACTTCTCACAACAGTGCCTAAGCTTATTATACCCATCCCCAGCAGATATCTTATTATGGTGCCATAGTTCAATGTGGGTACAACGATCCTCAAGGACAGGGTTCCAGCAGAGTCCTCAACATCTTGGTGGTGGCTGGTCTTAGTCTGTGTGTAGATCCTTGTTTTTCTGTCCTCTTATCTCAAGAAGCGTTCTTGAGTTCCTGCCATCAGAGGGAGTCCTGGACCTTGCCCATTTTATTTGTTCTCTGCAACCTGCTTGTTGCTACAGATGGGACTACTGGTTCACTGTATCACTAGGAAGACCAAGAAAAGAGATGGTGTTGGTGTCTGGAGATGACTTTCCTGGGACCAGGATGCAAGCACCTGCTGTGCTTATCTTCCAGGTTCTTCCTTAATGGAGCAAGCTCTCTCCCATGAGCTCTTAAAAGGACCAATTGAATGAAAGACACAAGACCTATTTGCATAAATGGTTCTCTCTCTCTGTCTCCCTGTGTTCGTGTGAATGTGTGTGTGTGTGTGTGTGTGTGTGTGTGTGTGTGTATGGGTGTGTGGGTGTGTGTGGGGGGTGGGTGTATGTGTGTGTGTGCACGCATATGGGTTGCCATCCAAGTTAAACGAACAAATTGTCAGATCCCCCAACCCCTCTCACCTACTTCTAGA